CATTTGTAACATATGAAAAATATATGAATTGATCGACAAAGAGGCGCAAATTTCTATACCTAAATTTGGAAAGAACCTGGACTGTATTTACACTACCTGGAAGAAAGTATCCGGACGCACCTTTTTGATAATTCCGCAAAATTTTGCATAGCATAAAAAAATTTTTTTACATCAATTTGTAGCCTAGGTTCTTACGATCATGTGTATAAATTTTAATGTTTCTAGCATCTACATAAAATTTACAATTAAAAAAAACCGAATGTAATTAAAATCGCGATTTTCTTCTCAATTTTTTTACAATTATTAGAATTTTCTCAAAATATTGTGTACTAAAAATACATAAATTTTATATAAACTTGAAGCTTAGGTTCTCAAGAATATTCTTGTAATTTTTACCATGTGTAAATAATTATTTAATAAAATATAATAAATTTGAAAAATTAAAAAAAAATTTTTTTCAGATCTAGATTGATAAAAAATTTTAAAATGCCAAAAAACAAAGAGCTGACCGATTTACAATGAGCCAACATTTTGGGCCTCCATATGAGCAATAATAACCTTACTAAAATATCAAAGTTACAAGAAGTACAGTAAATGATACCATTACCCGTTACAGAAATGCTGAAAGTTTGAAAAGTGCACCAAGAAGTGGTCGGCCAAAGCAATAAATGAAGATGACCAAAAATTTTAAAAGAACTTGTACAAACATATAATCATAGAAGTGCAAATGAAATTAAAAACAAGAGGCATGCATTGCAAATAAAGGATGGGCTACAAAATATTGAATTTAATTTTTAATTTTTAAATAAATTTTTTGTCAAATTTTGTTGATCATCATTATTACAATTTTAATTGTATTTCGGTTTTTTTTTAACTGAGAATCGATTTTGCTATATCAACAACAACATTAAAAACAATAATAATAATAAAAATAATAATAATAAAAATAGCAACAAATCACAAATATTCCACCAAAAAACTGAACAATCAATCTTAAAATGAATCCACCAGGGATACTCCATCAATTCAGTAATATCAAGGTAATAAATACAATCCACAGGGTTTCTTTCCCAACACAAATTAAATTATGATCTAATTTGTCAAAAGGAAAGTATATCATTCTTTTTATATACATGCTAAAACATTAAAATTTATATACATGATTGTAAGAACCTAGGCTAAAAATTGATGTAAAAAATTTTTTTTTGTGCTATTAGTTGTGTGACATGTCCTAAAAATCAAGGGGCAAGTTTATTTTCCGAAAAATTTCCGGTGATCTACACAATTTTTATTAATAAAATTTCGAATTGAATGTCTTCATACCCTCCGTTTGATACCCTTGTCGTGTAGCAATTGTCACCAAATTTGATACATAACTTCTTTGTCATATGTATCTGCTTTAAAAATTTTTTTGAAGCAAGTTGTTAATAAAAC